CCCCTCCTTGCCTTCGACGGGAGTCCTCAGCACCGTCAAGGCACAAGTGCAAGAGTTTCCAACGAGACAGTGCTCCAGCCTCAGACAACTCGCCAAATACGATGCTAACGGCGAGTATGTGTGTCGATATGTTTTCCAAGACGGTGGCGGCGATGAGTCTATCATTCCATGAGCTAACGGTGCCCACGGTGATGACGAACATGTGATCCAATTTAATGCCGATGACGACGGTGGTGACGAATATGCTTGGTAATGCTGACCATGACGCTGGCGATGCCGAATATGTTGTCTACAGGCTTTCTGTGACGATGCTGGTTACATGAACATGTCTGATGACACTACTGATGACGATGGTGAGGACAAACATTGCTCTGATAATGCTGCTGCTGACGACGGTGAATGCCATGCATCTTTCTAAAGATGCAACTGATGACGATGGTTATGACAAACATGTACGTGAGGATGTTTCTGGTGACGATGCTGATGGCATGCATCTCTCTGAAGATGCTGCTGATGACGACGTTCACGACACACATATCTCTGATGATACTGCTGACGAAACAAATTGGTCACAGGATGCTGCTGATGACGATGGTCATGACAAGCATCTGGTTGAGGATGCTGCGACTTGCCATGATGATGGCGAGTTTCCAAATGGCTCCAGTGCGCCTCCAAGAGGGTCCGAGAAGTTCCAAAGTTCGCAATTGTGGGCTCATCGTCTTCACTGCATGCCTATCTACATGAAGCCTCCAGCAACTCTCCCTGGCATCGATTCTGGATGGGTTGGTGTGAGATCCACGAAGCGTCAATCACAAGCTTCCTGCGCCTCATGATCATGCACTGCCCCAACATGTCAAGCAGGCCGAAGACCTCCTCAGAAAACTGACATGTCCACTCTTTCACTGAGTCCAATCAATAGTCTGACCTTCGGTAACACTTTCCAGGAGTACAAGTGGGGGTACCTTACTATTCTACGCCGCGCGACTTTTGTTTACAGCTGCAACATGTACGCAAGCTAGCTGGACCCAACTCGCTTGCCCACACAATCCTCAAGGTTCCATGCGTACATCGGCAAAGCACTGCTTCAATGTCTTCAATATGCATGGTCCGAGCGAGGCCCCCACCACGGTGGAAAACACAGGAGGAACATCCTTCTTGCACGGCGATCCCCCTGAAACGTATACCTCGCAGAGCAAGGATGTCGGGCAGCCGACGCAAGTCTCGACATGAATGGCGTAACCTGGTCGGCCACATCCGTGTCTAGTAGGGGACAGGAATCCTGCTTCCTCCAGCCATGGTGGTAGCATGACCGCACCAGTTCGCACCCCGCTGCCCTCATGGCGCATGGAATCATCAACAACGACGGGATACAATATGCACTGGGCTTTTACCGCCGCGCAGATTTCATGTGCACTCCGGCATGCTGTCGTGGCGTAAAACCGTCTTCTGTACATCAAGCCCCGCCTACGCTGAGTGACCGCTCTCGATCGATGTTCGTACACTGACGAGGATGCCATTCCCTTGCGTATGTGCTGATGGAATGAAGGGGCGGACCGTCGAAACGAACAGAGCACGCGCGATTTCCCACATCACATTGAAGGGGCCCTGGGACACACAAATAAATACACACAAATAACAGGAATCCCCATATTTTCACATATCTTTTGGGTTTTTGTCTTCCCCCCAACTTCCCATATTTTCCCATATTTTGCTGGGGGCCGACGATTCATTGTGTCTGTGTGTTTTTTCCCTTCCTGACACATGTCCTGTCCTGGGCCCTGCCAGCTCGCCCGCACCTCCGCGCATTCCTTGTCTGCTTCTACGCTGGGCAGAAGCTGCTCGCCGTACGATTTCAGGTAGTTCGATGGTGGCGGCGCCTCGGACAGCGGGCGCATCAGCTTTTGCGCAGACAGACACACACTCACACGCATACACCGACAGACACCAGACACACGCACACACAAGAACACGCCCAAACACACACACACACACACACGCGCGCGCGCACACGCACGCACGCACGCACGCACGCACGCACGCACGCACGCACGCACGCACGCACGCACGCACGCACGCACGCACGCACGCACACACACACACACACACACACACACACACACACACACACACACACACGCACACACAGACACACACACACATACACACACACGCACAGACACGCACAGACACGCACACACACACACACACGCACAGACACACACACACAGACACGCACACGCACACACACAAACACACACGCACACACACACACACGCACACACACACACACACACACACGCACACACACACACACACACACACGCGCACACGCGCACACGCACACACGCGCACACGCACACACACACACACACACGCATACGCGTACACACGCATGCACGTACATACGCACACACACACACACACACACATACACACACACGCACACACGCGCACGCGCCAACCCACACACGCACGCACGAACATACGCGTCGTCGTCGTCGTCGTCCCACCCGCGACCCCCCCCCCCACCACCAAACACGCGAACACCCCCCCCGCGATCCACCCCGCGATCCACCTGCGACCTATCCGCCACGACACACCCGCCGCGACCCATCCGCGATCCACCCCTCGACACACCTGCGACCCACCCGCGACCCACCCAGCGCCCGCCCCCTCACTCTTATCCGCAACTGCGAGGTGCTACGTACATGTGCACAAGAAATTAATAAGATACAACGAACCACCGTCAAACTGCCATGGCCACAGTCCTGCATTCCCACCCTCCTCACTGCGTCCGCTTCTGGTCCCGCTGCCGTCGCGCTACTCTACTTGCCGCTCCTCCTGCTCCGCCTCCTCCTCCTCCTCCTCCTCCCCCTCCTCCTCCTCTTCATCCTCTTCCGGGTGCGCACCTCAAAATCGGGCCCTCGATCTCTCTTGAGGTGCGTTCCTGCCGGAGCCTCAAGGCGAAGTTCAAGGCGAATCAAGTGGTGGCGACGAGCGCCCTTGGAGGTCCCAAAAGGCACACAAAACAAAACGTCCAGGGCCTTCGTGCTCCCCCTCGTGCTCCAGCCACTCTCAACGCCGTCCGCAGAGCAGCTTCCCCTTAATACCCCTCGACTGCCTCTGCCTGCGCACGTGTGGGAGGCAACCAGCCGGCCTGGATCTCGAAGCCGCCGCCGGAACCCGAGCTGGCGTTCAGGCCCATGGCGCCCCGGGGAGGACCCCGAGACTTCGGTCGGGCATATCCCCCTACAGGCGGATTTGGAGCGAAGGATGAAACTTACCCCCACACATTGAAAAATTGTCACAAACATTATTCTGGCGACGTACCCAACCCTTGCGCAATGCGGGGCATAAGTGCATCAGGATTGCTACAACGGGGGCGATGACGTAGCATGGGCGCATGTGATTTTGCGAGCAGCAATCGGAAGGCTCGCAGGCCCCCGATCAAGATATAAGGGCTACGTAATAACAAATCACCCCCGTTGGCTGTGCCATGCGCCCGTTGCACCCAACGTATCCCACAGCAATTCTTGAGAGCCCCCGCGGGACACGTAAAGGCGCAACGTGATGGCCATCGCCAGGCAGATGGTCTGTTTCACAAATCACACCAGTTGGCTGTGCAATGCGCCCGTTGCGCCTGAAGTATCCCGCAGCAGCTCTTGAGAGCCCCCCAGGGACGGCGAGGTCTCGCTCAGGTCCCCGCGGTGACTCACTCCGCAGGACCCACCAGCAGACCTCGACAATGGCGACAGTGTCGCAGATCGCAGCTCCCCCAGGGACGGCGAGGTCTCGCTCAGGTCCCCGCGGTGCCTCACACCGCTGGACCCACCAGCAGCCCTCGAACGTGTCAATGTTGCAGATCGCAGCGCCCCAAGGACGGCGAGGTCTCGCTCAGGACCGCGCGGCGACTCACTCCGCAGGACCCACCAGCAGCCCTCGAGAGTGGCGACAGTGTCGCAGATCGCAGCCCCCCCCCCCCCAGGGACGGCGAGGTCTCGCTCAGGTCCGCGCTGTGCCTCACTCCGCTGGACCCACCAGCAGCCCTCGAAAGTGGCGACAGTGTCGCAGATCGCAGCCCCACAGGGACGGCGAGGTCTCGCTCGGGTCCCCGCGGTGCCTCACTCCGCTGGAGCCAACAGCAGCCCTCGAGAGTGGCGACGGGTTCGCAGATCGCAGCCCCCCAGGGACGGCGAGGTCACGCTCAGGTCCGCGCTGTGCCTCACTCCGCTGGACCCACCAGCAGCCCTCGAAAGTGGCGACAGTGTCGCAGATCGCAACCCTCAGGGACGGCGAGGTCTCGCTCAGCAAGTTCCCGCGGTGCCTCACTCCGCAAGACCCACCAGCAGCCCTCGAAAGTGGCGACATTGTCGCAGATCGCAGCCCCTCAGGGACGGCGAGGTCTCGCTCAGGTCCCCGCGGTGACTCACTCCGCTGGACCCACCAGCAGCCCTCGAGAGTGGCGACAGTCTCGCAGATCGCAGCTCCCCCAGGGACGGCGAGGACTCGCTCAAGTCCCCGCGGTGCCTCAGTCCGCTGGACCCACCAGCAGCCCTCGAAAGTGGCGACAATGTCGCAGATCGCAGCCCTCCAGGGGACGGCGAGGTCTCGCTCAGGTCCCCGCGGTGCCTCACTCCGCAGGACCCACCACCAGCCCTCGAAAGTGGCGACAATGTCGCAGATCGCAGCCCCCCAGGGACGGCGAGGCCTCGCTCAGGTCCTGCCTCACTCCGCAGGACCCACCAGCAGCCCTCGAACGTGTCAATGTTGCAGATCGCAACGCCCCAAGGAGGGCGAGGTCTCGCTCAGGTCCCCGCGGTGACTCACCCCGCAGGACCCACCAGCAGCCCTCGAGAGTGGCGACAGTGTCGCAGATCGCAGCCCCCCCCAGGGACGGCGAGGTCTCGCTCAGGTCCGCGCGGTGCACCACTCCGCTGGACCAACCAGCAGCCCTCGAAAGTGTCGACAGTGTCGCAGATCGCAGCCCCCCCAGGGACGTCGAGGTCTCGCTCAGACCCGCGCGGTGCCTCTCTCCGCAGGACCCACCAGCAGCCCTCGAAAGTGGCGACAGTGTCGCAGATCGCAGCCCCCCCCAGGGACGGCGAGGTCTCGCTCAGGTCCGCGCGGTGCCTAACTCCGCTGACCCACCAGCAGCCCTCGAAAGTGGCGACAGTTTTGCAGTTCGCAGCCCCCCCCCCAGGGACGGCGAAGTCTCGCTCAGGTCCGCGCGGTGCCCCACTCCGCAGGACCCACCAGCCGTCCTCGAGAGTGGCGACAGTGTCGCAGATCGCAGCCCCCCCCCAAGGACGGCGAGGTCTCGCTCAGTTCCCCGCGGTGCCTCGCTCCGCTGGACCCAACAGCAGCCCTCGAGAGTGGCGACGGTTTCGCAGATCGCAGCCCCCCGGGGACGGCGAGGACTCGCTCAAGTCCCCGCGGTGCCTCACTCCGCAGGACCCACCAACAGCCCTCGAAATTTGCGACAATGTCGCAGATCGCAGCCCCCCAGGGACGGCGAGGTCTCGCTCAGGCTCCCGTGGTGCCTCACTCCGCAGGACCCACCAGCAGCACTCGAAAGTGGCGACAATGTCGCAGATCGCAGCCCCCCAGGGACGGCGAGGTCTCGCTCAAGTCCACGCGGTGCATCACTCCGCAGGACCCACCAGCAGCCCTCGAACGTGGCGACAGTTTCGCAGATCGCAGCCCCCAAAAGGATGGCGAGGTCCGCACAAAGCAAGAGCAGACAAGATGGAAGCGGGAGACGGGACATTTCCCTGGCGACGTACCCAACCCCTGCGCAATGCGGGGCATGAGTAGCTTGGGAGACGTTATTCGGAGGTGATGACGTGACATGGGCGCATATACTTCTGCGAGCGGCATTCGTGGGGCTCGCAGCCCCCCAAGGATTGCGATGTCTCGCTCATATCTGCCTGGTGCCTCGCTCCGCTGAACCCGCCACCAGCCTTCGAAAGGTGCGACGGTTTCGCAGATCGCAGATCCCCAAGGACGGCGAGGCCCCGCTCAGATCTGCGCGGTGCCTCGCTCCGCTGGACCCCCCAGCAGCTCTCGAAAGTGGCGACAATGTCGCAGATCGCAGCCCCCCAAGCACGGCGAGGTCCCGCTCAGGTCCGCGCGGTGCCTCACTCCACAGGGCCCACCAGCAGCCCTCGAAAGTGGCGACAACTTCGAAGATCGCAGTCCCTCAGGGACGGCAAGGTCCCGCTCAGATCTGCGCGGTGCCTCACTCCGCTGGACCCACCGAAAGTAGCGACAGTGTCGAAGATCGCAGCCCCCCCCAAGGGACGGCGAGGACTCGCTCAGGTCCGCGCGGTGCCTCACTCCGCTGGACCCACCAGCAGCCCTCGAGAGTGGCGACGGTTTCGCAGATCGCAGCCCCCCCCAGGGACGGCGAGGTCTCGCTCAGGTCCGCGCGGTGCCTCACTCCGCAGGACCCACCAGCAGCCCTCGAAAGTGGCGACGGTTTCGCAGATCGCAGCCCCCCAGGGACGGCGAGGTCTCGCTCAGGTCCGCGCGGTGCCTCACTCCCAGGACCCACCAGCAGCCCTCGAAAGTGGCGACGGTCTCGCAGATCGCAGCCCCCCAGGGACGGCGAGGTCTCGCTCAGGTCTGCGCGGTGCCTCACTCCGCTGGACCCGCCAGCAGTCCTCGAAAGTGGCGACGGTCTCGCAGATCGCAGCCCCCCAGGGACGGCGAGGTCTCGCTCAGGTCCGCGCGGTGCCTCACTCCGCAGGACCCACCAGCAGCCCTCGAAAACGAGCCAGTTTCGCAGATCGCAGCCCCCCCCAAGGACGGCGCAATATCGCTCAGATCTGCGCGGTGCCTCGCTCCGCTGGACCCACCAGCAGCCCTCGAAAGTGGCGACAATGTCGCAGATCGCAGCCCCCCAAGCACGGCGAGGTCTCGCTCAGGTCCGCGCGGTGCACCACTCCGCAGGACCCACCAGCAGCCCTCGAAAGTGGCAACAGTGTCGCAGATCGCAGCCCCCCAGGGACGGCGAGGTCTCGCTCAGGTCCGCGCGGTGCCTCACTCTGCAGGACCCACCAGCAACCCTCGAAAGTGGCGACAGTTTCGCAGGTCGCAGCCCCCCAGGGACGGCGACCACAGGGGGGGCGGGAGGAGGACGCGACCACACCCCTCTATTCAAAACGAATGCCCAACCAAGGAGGGTTGGGAAAAACTCAAAAATCGTCCCCGACTATTGTTTGACAATTTCTGGATATTCCTTCTGTAGAGGGAGACGCCCGACTTCACCCCAAACCCAAATAAGGTCCAGCCGAAAGGGGGTGGTGCAATAGATTTGGTGCGATTGTGCTGCACATGTATTTCGCCCGAGAATTGCATTGCATTATATTGCAAGTCATGCATTGCACGCGAAAATCCAACAATACTTCTGCGCCCAGGCATGTGTTGCACGCCCTGACTGTACTGCAACCCCACAAATCTATCGCTCCAGATCTAGTGCACCACCCACTTGTCGCTGGACCCCATTCTGGGTCAACCCGAGGGAGGAACGCCGAGCTGGCGCCGAGGACGCACCCCGCCGGTAGCTCAGCGAGGGGCCCCCGATGTTGTGGCGAGCCCGCGCGCTGCTGTTTGAGGGGTGGGCTCTCGAGCCCCCGGCGACGACGCATGGGTGAGTGGGGGGCTGCACGGCTTCCCCCGGGGCCGTAGGCGACCCGAGGACCGAGGACCGATGAGGAGGAGGAGGAGGAGGATGTGGAGGAGGGGGAGGAGGGCAAGCTAGGTGCGCTCGCGTCATATCTGACATCCTACCCCTCCCTCCCATCCCTTACCATGGCGTAGATCCCCTCTCTACTCGCACAGTCGGATGTCGAGCAGGGCAGTGATCCCGAAAGGGTACGCGATGCATTGTAGAGCACGGCATGGCATGGCGTAGAAGAGCACCGCAAAGCGTAGCATCAACCTAGCATTGCATTGCATGCCGTGGCATGGCACGGGAAATGACGCCAGCGCTGCAGCGGGAGCACGAGTCGAAACGAGCGGAAGCGCGGAAATGAGGCCAGCGCTGCAGCGGGAGCACGATTCGGAACGAGCGGAAGCACGGAAATGAGGCCAGCGCTGCAGCGGGAGCACGATTCGGAACGAGCGGGGCCCGAAAATGAGGCCGGCGCCTCAGCGAGAGCAGCATTTTGGAAAAAAATGCAAGCGAAAACCCAACTCCGGGGAATCCTGTGTGTAAAAAACAATACGCGGGGGGGGGGCTAATACTTTCAAACCGTCATCAGGGGAAGAGGGAGAGTAGTATTCATATTGAGTAGAGGAGGAGGAGGGGGAGGGGGAGGGAGGAAGAGGGGGAGGATAAGGAGGAGGAGGAGGGGAGGAGGAGGTGGAGGAAGAGGGGGAGGAGAAGGAGGAGGAGGAGGGAGAGGAGGAAGAGGGGGAGGAGGAGGAGGAACAGGAGGAGGAGGAGGAGGAGGAGGAGGAGGAGGAGGAGGAGGAGGAGGAGGAGGATGAGGAGGAGGAGGAGGAGGAGGAGGAGAGGAGGAGGAGGAGGAGGGAGGAGGAGGAGGAGGAGGAGGAGGAGGATGGAGCAGGGGGAGGAGGAGGAGGAGGAGGAGGAGGAGGAGGAGGAGGAGGAGGAGGAGGAGGAGGAGGACGGGTCGCCTAAGCCCTTCGGAGAAACCCTCAATGGGGGCCGATGTGTCCGCCCCTGAGCCTGTCTCTCCAACGTTGCCCCGCCCCGGGGAACTGTCTCCCCAGCCCCCTGATGGGGCTTCCGCAAGGAGCGGCCCGCGGCGGAAGGCTGGCCCCGCGGGACACGACGCCGACGGCTCCTGGGGGGCGCGTGACGCGAGGCAGCCAACGTCGGAGAGACGTGGGGAGGGGGGGAGGACGGGGTGGGGACAGCAGAGGTCGATGGCGCAAAGACGGGGTCCTGAGGGATGGGGTCCTGAGGACGAGGTGCATCAAACAACGTACATCCACCCTCGGATCCCTGCCTACTCTCAGGACCCCAACCCCCAAGGCCCCCATCTTTGAACCACCGACGGGGGGGGGAGACCCGGTTGCACGTAGCTGGCTTTCCTGGCGCCTTCCGGCGCCAGAAGCGGCCATGTATCGAGGAAGCCGCCTGGCGGCGGAGCCAAAACGACTTGCATGCGGCAGTTGTCGCCCCACTCCGCCCCGCCCCCCCTTCTTTCTTCCGCCCCGGATGGGGAGAGGCAGGGGGGAGGGGGGGCGCGCCTGCTGAGCGCGATCGTCGGAATCTCGTTGGCAAGATGGAACGACCCAGCGACTCAGCACACCGGGACGTACACGTTCCGATCACTCGTTGGCTAGGGGTGGTGCTGCCTCGCTCGTAGTCGAAAACGATCGTGAAGTTGGAATGATATACGGTATGTCCGTTTCTCAGCTTGAGTAATCCGCCGACCCTGTCGGCGTGTGTGAGGGGCTTTTCCGTTCGAGCCGTCATCTCCGTCATTCTTTGTAATCGTCGTCTCTGTCGTTCCCTTTCCCTGGTACCCCTCTTCCCCTGGGTTCCTCCCCGCTCCCCTCGCCCTTTCCCAGGGCCTCCTCCTCAAGCGCGCTAGCCAAACCGACCTTCAGCAACGTCGTAATTGATTCGAAGGGAAGCCCCTTCCCTTTAATCTCTCCCCCGCCGGGAGGGGGAGGGAGGGTCTTTCCCAGGGCCTCCTCCTCAAGCGCGCCAGCCAAACCGACCTTGAGCAACGTCGTAATTGAGTCGAAGGGAAGCCCCTTCCCTTTCCCTTCCCCGACGGGGGGGGGAGGGGGGGTCCCGGGGGGGGTCCCGGGGGAGTCCCGGGGAAGTCCCGGGTCAGATACGACGCCACCTTCTCGTCCTTCTCCCCTCTCCCCAAAACCATCCCACAGCCCGTGCCTCTTGCTGCGCATTGCGAACAGGGTCGGCGGCACCGGCCGTAAGGCCTTCGCAATATATGGCAATGGTAACAATACACGTCACGGCATGCATATCCGAGAGCTACCCGATCAGCCCTCCTCGCCGCCGCGTCGAGCTCCTTCGAGTCTCGACCCAGGCGATCTCCGGGTTGCTCCAGCGAGGCTGAAAAGAAAACTCGCAAGCCTCGCCACATGTAACCTCATAGAAAGCATGCCTGCGGACACGAAAACGGTCGCCATGACACGGGCGACCTCCGACGAAAGTCACGCCTGCACCTCCTCTTTGCCCTCGGGCTCGCAAGCTAGGTCAGGCTCAAGCAAGTTGCCTGCGACCGCGAGAGAGAGGTCAGGCTTGCCCGCAGCCGCGAACAATCCCAGCAGTCCCAGCATCTCATCCAGCTCTTTTTGCGCCAGATGCTTCGTGCCGAGATCTGCCACATTGACCTTGCCGAGCGTCTTAGAAAGGATGGCACGACGCTCGGTCACATGACGCTGGAGCCACAGAGTCTTTGTCTCGATGTGTCGGATGCGCCCCGCCCCTCGGCGATGCGCGATCCCACTGGCCGCCGTGGCGTCGCCAGCCAAACGCAACTCCAGCTCGTATCCCATGTCGCGCGCCAGCTAGACCAGGCCGATCCCGCAGGACGCAGTGTGCACTAGAGCATGCCACTCGGCCTCACCTGAGCTGAGAGCTTCACTGCCCTGAGTCGCGCTGAAGACTCTGATCATGTGATCTCCCAGATGGAAGACTCCGCAGCTCGTGCTCTTCCTGGTCTCCAGGCAGCCCGCGATGTCACTGTCCGAGAAGCCCTTGAACACACCTGACCAGCGCTGGCGTCGGAACCTCTGGCCCAGTCTCGGACGGCCCAAGAGATACCTGGCAATCCTCTTGACTAGCTCCCTGCCGTGCTCGCACGGCTCGCGCATATACTTCGCTGCCTCTTTGACTGCGTACTTGATGTCCGGGCGGTCCTCGCTGAGATAGCTGGCTCGCATGACCAGGCTGCGGTAGCGAGTCGCCTCCTCGCCCTCCAGGACTCTGCCGCGATCCGCACTCTTGGCCTTCACCACTGGCGTCGAGAGGGCCTTCGACCCGCGCCAGAGGTTCAGCTTCTGCATCATGATGAGCGCATGGCGAGAGTCAGCCTCGAGCTCCACGTCGCCTCTCGAGGTCCAACGGAAGGCGCGGTTCAGGCAGACCACCTCCTGAACATCACCAGCGCTCTTGTTGGGCCCCAACGTGCCCTCGAGCTTGACCCACATGTACTCCTGCAACTCGCGGTGGAACTCCAGGTTGTCGGTGCGGGAGCCCTTCAGCACGAAGTTGTCGCCGTAGACGTAGGCCACGAGCTTGCCGTCGCCTCTGCGGTATATGCAGGGACACCACACGCCGCAGGAGAAGCCCATTTTGCCCTCCAGCGTCTCGCGGACCAACAGCTCGAAGTTCTGGCCTGCGTCGCGGCAGCCGTAGAGGCACCTGACCAGCAGCCCGCGCGCGTTGTTGTCAGCTGAGCGGGGGTCCTCCGCAGGCAGCTTCACCCACAACTTCCGCTTCATCTCGCAGTGCGGGTGAGCCCTCGTGATGCCCAGGAACATGAGGACGTGCTGGTCCTCCTCGGCGTTCCTGGGCGAGCAGCAGAAGGAAATCAACATCCTGAGAGCCTCATACGGGGGCGTCGCACTGAACGTCTGCGAGGGCCCCCCCAGGTCCATGCTCGTGCGGTAGCGCGTCTCCGCCACGCACAGCCTGCAGCGGACGTTGGGTTTGCGGTCGCCACCCTTGTTGACGTCCACCCAGATCATGGGCGCCGGGTCGCGCCCGGCCCCCTCGTGGCAGCGCTGCTTGGTGTCGTGCACGTAGGCGCCCAGGCCGCGCAGAAACTCCATCTCCTCCTCGCGGCCAGCTGCCACGAGCTCGGGGTCCAGAGCGGCCCCGCTGATGTTATCGACGATCTCCGTGTAGTACTCTGGGTAGGCGTCCCGGATCGGCGGCTCGTCCAGATGCGGCCCAGCCTCCAGCGCACCCAGCTGGCCGCGAGCTATCGCCTCACGACGCAGCCCGCGCAGCACCGCAGCCACAAGCTTCGGTGGGTACCGCTCGATGATGCGCACGCCACGCCGACCTAGACCGACCGTCTGGCAATGCCTAGCACACCCAGGACACCGACGCGTCAGCTCTCGGGGTATCTCGGCAGAGTTGGTCAACCACCCCGTAGGCTTCTTGACCGGTGCCGGGCCGATGGCATCAGCGCCCCACAACCCATGCGCACATTGATCGCACTCGACGTAGTGTACTCCTGGCATCTCGGCGACCTCTCGGATTATCCAAAGACGCCAACTCCTCGATGATGCTGGCTGCTCGCGCAAGAAGAGGCGGCCAGCTTTGATCTGTTCCTTGTAGCGCTCGGCACAGAAGACCAGGTGGACGACGCCTCGCTCAATGATGGCGTTGCCGTCCACGCCCTGGATGACGTTGAGGGCCTGCAGGTTCGACCACGGCGCACACATCGGGCCGCCTGTGATCAGCAGTGGCTGCTCCAGCTCGATAGTGGCCTGCGCCCGCTGCCTGTCGCCCTCCTGGCTGAAATCGTAGCCGGTCCTGGCGTCGTAGGCTGTGCCGGGCTCGAGATCGAAAGCACTCGACCGAGACGTGAAACGCCCTGGCCCGCACAGCTCGCCGACGGCAACCCCCCAGTCGCCGAAAGCCGCCAGCAGCGCGCAGAGCTCCAGCGAGTCCGCGTCCATGACACCCCCAGCTCCAGGCGGCGCCTGCAGAAGCCCGCTCGGCCCAGCAGCCTGCGCCTGCGGCGTGGCTGGCGCCTGCGCTGGCGCCTCCGGCTGCTCACCGCTGATCGCGGGGGCGAGGGGTGCTGGACCGCCTGGCGCCGCGAGGCGGCGCCTCGTTGCCTGCGGCCGGGCTGGCTGCCTGAGGCAGCGCCCCGGAGCCCGCGCCCTCCTGGCGCACAGGCGCCCTGTCAGCAGCCTCCAGCTGACGGGCCGCCGCTCCGAAGACTCGGGGGGCGAGCTCCGGGTCGTTCGCCGTGGCCTGCTGGATGCGCTCACGGCACTCCGAGCTGTGGGCCTTGGCTGGCGCGTTGGTGCGGGCCGCAAGGCAGCCCGGGCATCCGTCTGTGAAACCGTACTTGACCAGCTCCACGTTCCTGCGGACGTATACGTTCCGAGGTTCAGCTGGACCCTGCTCTGGCACAACCTTCGGCTGCTGTGCAGCGGGGTCGACAGGAGGTTCGTCGATGACCGTCGGGATGCGGACGTCCTCTGGCTTGTCCGGGGTCGGCATCCACGGCGCGCCCCTGATCGAGAGTAACAGGGCTGCGTCGGCCCGCTGGCTCGGCGGTCTCCTTCTGATAGACCGCGCGCGTACGACCCTGCCGTCGTAGCCGACGAGCATCTCGCTCGACTTCTCGATGACGCCCAAGAAGACTCCAATCTTCCAGCGCTCCTCGAACTTGGCGTCGCGCCTCGCACTCGGGAGGAACGCGATGATCTCACCGAAAGGCGGCGGCACCTTGCGAAAGGCCCCGCCCTTGCGCCTCTCGCGCGGCGTCCGTCCATCGGCGCCGACCTTGCCACGATTGATGCATCCCGCAGCGTGGGCAACCAGCCAAGTCAACACTGGATGGTCGTTCGGGATGTCTGTGCTATGCAGGAGGGACAGGGCGACCCGCAGAGACCGCGCTACGCCCTTGACCTCCCTCACTGCTGCCTCTGCCAGGCCGTCGCTGGCACTGTCGTAGGCCGGCGCCTCCTCGGGCACGACCTCGAAATTCAGATTCCTGAGGCGGATCGTCGCCTCTCGCTTGAGCGCCACCAAGGCGCCCTCACCATCTGACTTGTAGATGATCTTCGGGTGGCCGGTCGCCTCCACCTGGCAGAAGGCGCGGGCCACGTTGCGCCCATGCTGGATGCCCTTGGACGGGAGGACGTCAGCGCTGACCCGCGAGGTGGCCGAGTCGATGCCGACGAGGATGGGGAGCACGGACTGGCCCGACTCCACCTCCTCCCGCTTCACAAGGTATCCGTAGCCGACTGCAAACGTAGGTATAGCATGCGCTCTCCCAGGAGCGCCCGCTGGGTGACCATCGGCGCGGCCACGCCCAGCCAGGCAGCGGTATCACCAGTCTCTGAAGGTCACGTGACCTGCTGCTTCGCGTTGCTCGATCTCAGCCTGGGTAGGCTCCTCCGGCCCCCGTCGTGCTCGCACTGGAGCAGGCTGAGACTCGTGGCGCTCCTCGACGTCACCCTCGAGCTCGATTGTACTTCCAACTCCGTCGTCCCCTGCCGCGGCGGCTCCACCTGGCGGGACAGGGTCACCTGCGGCTGGGCCGAGGTGACTCTCGATGGTCGCAACTTGTCCATCATCAACTCCATGAGGTACCACTCCTGTCACAGAAGCGACGCCATGCAGCGCAGGAAGCCCCACTGCTGGCGCCATCATGGCCGGTCTTGCGGCAGCGCCTGCCGCCCGAAAGGGCACAAACGCTTCTTATCCTGTATCCTGTTGCAGCCGCGGCAACCCTCGACCGAGCAGAGCGGCGACTCCCTCACGAGGGTCTGGGACATCTGGGTGACCTCCTTCGCTGGCACGATGTTCGCGTCCAGGTCCCAGGCGCGCTGCCTCCGCGTGAAGCGGACGGTCTTACCACTCTCGATGTGGACGGCGTGGCTGATGTCGTTGCCGTGCTGATCCTGCTCGAAGACCACACGATGGCCACTCTTCACAAGGTCGGAGACCGAAAGCAGCGGCCGCGCGACGCCGGTGGCCCGGGCCCTGATGCCACGCAACGCGCCGCCGGTCTGCACCGTGAGCTTGCGCTGGTCCTCGTCTGGGATCGGCCCACCCGTCGCACTGAGGTACTGCGCTCCCGACGGCTTCTCCGCGATCGGGGAGTCGGTCCCCAGCGAGCGCGGGATCGCCGTGACCGCCGCGCCTGAGTCGACCCCGAAGCGCGCCGTCTCGCAGCTCGAGGACATGGTCGACAGGTCGAGCGCCGCCAGGAAGAGGCCGCCCAGGCCCTCAGGCGGCTCAGGCTCGCCCATCTCGCCCAGGGCGCCAGCCTTCTTGGCGGCCGGGCAGTCCTTGGCCAGATGCGCTGTCGAACCACAGGTCCAGCATGGCTTCGGCTTCGGTGCATCGCCAGCCTTGGCCTCGCCCTTGCCTTTGCCGCGACCTCGACCTCCACCGCCCTTCGGCGGCGCCTTGCCCGACGCAGCCGTCGTATTCCACCGGCAGTCTCGCTTCCATTGACCTGTCTTGCCGTAGATCGGACACGGCTTGGTCGGCAGGTCGTCGGCGCCCTTGCCCTTGCCGGCCTTGCCGTTCCTGCCCCTGCCGTTGCCGATCTTGCCGTTCTTGCCACCCTTGAGGCCGAGGGCCGCCAGCTGCCGCGCCAGGGAGTCGATGTCCATTGGGGTCGGGCCCGTGCCAGTGCTCGCCGTCGTCGCAATCTGGGCCCGCCTGAGGTTCTCGACCTCCGCCTTCACAAGCTCCCACGTGTTCAGCCGCTGGCTGTTGAGGAGCAGGTGGTGGCGCAGCGGGCCCTCCTTGAGCGGGCGGACCAGGATGCCTATCTTGATCTCGCCAGGGAACTCCGCGCCCACAGCCTGCTCGTAGCGCTTGACATTCCCGTCGAACGCGATCAGCTTCGAGGGGGCGTGGCCCTCGAAGTCCCACGAGAGCAACTCCTGCAAGAACCCCGCCGCGCGGGTGCGTCTCTGAGGCTCGTGGAAGGTGACCAGGGTCCTCCACGCCTCGAGCCCCTCGTTCACCCCCGCACTGACAATGCGGTCCAGCGAGAGCCCTCTGTTCAGCATGACCAACATGTAGTAGAGCTGGCTGCTGAGGCGCACCTGGTCGTCGGGCAGCGCCGCGTTCAGCACCGGCGTGTCGGCGTGCTCGGCCCTGTCCATGGCGTCCTTCAGGGCCGGCTCGCACGCGCTGGCGTAGGCTCGGAAGATCGCACTCCAGTCACGCTAGGTCCCAGGCTCGCCGTTGAAGTCGTTTGGCTTGCCGAGGACCCTCGTGTCAATCAATATGTTCGTTTCCTGCGGCGGGCCGCCAGGCTGGGCTGCTCGTTGCTGCTGCTCTTGCCCTCGAGCCTCCTGAGCCATAGCATCTGCCGCCTGCACTCTGGCCTCGGCGGCCTCCGCCTGAGCTGCCAGCCGCTGGATGACCTCTTGCTGCTGCTGCTGCTGCTGTTGCTGCTGCTGCTGCGCCTGCGCGAGCGCCTGCTCGAGCTGTGCGAACCTGGCCTCGTCCATGCTCGTCGTTGGCCTCTCGACCTCGGGCTTCGATGGCCTTGAGAGCTTCGCCCTCGCAGTGCCACCTGGCCCGGCGCAGCGCCAGTCGCAGCAAACCTGTCACGATGATCGCCCAGTTCTCGAGCGGCGATCCCAGGACTAGCTTCCAGCCAGTCTCGTCTGCGGCTGCTGTGGCCGCACCGGCGTCTGTCACCAACGCCGTGGAAGAATGCGCAGCGGTATCGCAGGCAGGCCGACCAACCTTGCTCCGCGCTACCATGAAATACGGTATGTCCGTTTCTCAGCTTGAGTAAGATATGGCAATGGTAACAATAAACGTCACGGCGTGCATATCCGAGAGTTACCCGATCATGGAATCGGGGCCAGAAGCGCACAGTCGGACAAGGGACAAAAGACCGTAGTACAAGAACATGAGCCCCTCTGCCGGTAGAAAGACCACACCACATAAAAACACCGAGGGTACCTTCCGAGGGATCACCCGACATTAACTGCCTGGCCCATCTAAGAAGCCATGGTGAAACCGCAGCTTTCCTGGAACGAGCGCGCAGCCGAGTGCCCTTGATAATCGCACCCAGGGGATGATAAAATTCAGGGGTTCGGGGGGAGAACACATTTCTCGTCTCGGCTACTCGCATGTACTGGGGCAGGGATGGGATGTTTGTATGATACGGCGATACCCTGCCACACGTTCGTGACGTGGGAAAGCTGAAATGGTGAGAATCCCGCAGCCCTGCCACACGCTCGTGCGTTAGGAAAGCTGGGATGCTAAGAATCCCCAATCCCTGCCACACGTTCGCGGCAGTGTTGCTACCCAGCATAAGAGGGCCGCAGCTTAGATTCGCACATTCCACGACGATGATGAAGTTCGGCCTCGCCGCCCTCGTCCCCCAACCGACTCTGTCTCGGCCTGGGACTCAGGGAACCGAGCTCTATACACCGGCGCTTTGTCCGACACTGCGCTGAAATTCGCACAGGAACGTGGATCCTGGTGTATACGGGATCCTGGTGTATACATTTGTCGCTGTTCCCCTTGGAAAAAACGGAGGACAAGTATGCTCCACACCACCCCGACGTCGTCCCCGACCCTCAAAAATTGGTGGGATTGAAATAACAAAGCCCGCCAATGGTAATGTACATGTGTTCCAGTTTCCGAGGACTCAAAAAGCAACGTCTGGGTGATCCCCCTCGGACCTTGCTTTTGTTACGTGCCGTTTTTATGGGGGGGCCGCCCGCCGAGGTTGTGGCATCTCACCCCAGAAGCCCCAGCATGGCCCCCATGATGGCCGAAGCCAACCCTAACCGCCTCAAGTTTGAAGGGGCCGTGGGACACACAAATCAGTACACACAAGTAACAGGATCCCCCCTTTTTTTCCATACTTTCTGGGTTTTTGTCTTCCCCCCCACTTCCCATATTTTCCCATATTCTCCTGGGGTGTTTTTGCCCCTCCTGAAAGTTGCGCCAAGCAGCCCGTGAGACGGCGAGGCCGGCGAAGGCCATCGAGGTTGAACTCCGAATGATAGAACGGCGCGGAAAACACTGCGGGACACGGTAACGCCACAGGACCCGACGGAATTCAACCTTGAACGATCGCGGCCGCGATCGATTCAAGGTTGAACGATGGACGCCGTGTCAAAGACTTTTCCGCGCGCCGATAGCCTGGGCGACAAGACCTACGTGAGTACGACGCCGCCCTGCGGTGGCCCTTCGCGGGCCGCCAGCGCGGCACGCCATCCGCGACTCTCACGCGGACAGAATGCGCGCGGTTGCCCGCGCACTGTTTTTGTCCGCGGGCGCCAAGTTTGAGGGGCAAAGATAGGGGGGACTGGCATAGGGGGGGATAATACATCGACCTATACCCAGATACGTCGCCGATACATCAGCAATAGTGTCCCGATAGTGAATCTGAACCTTTCTGGGCAGGTTAAGGCTATCGGGCCTCTATCGGCGATCCATCGGCGATTGGGGGTCGATGCATCCCCCCCTATGCTTAGGTCGTGCATGTCCCCCTCAAGGGGGATTTGGGATGAAAAGTTAGTTTTGCTAATTTGTTTATTTTATATATATATGTATATATATATATATATATATATATATATAGATTCAGACATAATCAAAACAACTCAAAAAATCGTCCCCATACAAATTTTGGATTAGTTTTGGATATTCCTCCTGTAGAGGGACAAGCCCGACTTATCCCTGTGCCTATCCCCCCCTATCGTTGCCCCTGAAAGTGGCCCAAGACTGTCAGACGCCGGACAGCAAGCCGCGGGGTGCACCGGGAGCGCATCGAGGCACGAAGGCGGCAGAGCGATGAGCGCGAAGGAAGGGGGGGACGAGGGAGGAGCCCCCTCAGTGCCATGAAAGCCGGCGCGAGGCTGCCTGCGTGGAGTCGAGGCATGGACACAAGAACGTCCCCAAAGCTCACGAGCCCCCCTCCTCCTCCTCCTCCTCCTCCTCTCCTCCTCCTCCTCCTCCTCCTCTCTCCTCCTTCCTCCTCCTCCTCCTCCTCCTCCTCCTCCTCCTCCTCCTCCTCCTCCTCCTCCTCCTCCTAGAGCCTAAGGCCCCATAGAGGCACGCCGGAAGGAGGCCGCTCCAGGGCGGAGGGCCCCAGCACGAAGAGCGTCAAGGTACCCCATCCAAGGCTAGGGCCCACTCTGGTTCCAACTGTACAGTCGGGGCCTTGACCTAAGGAACCCAAAATAAGGAACGAGGCCCCTTTTTTCCAGAAGTTCAACTTCGATTCCCCATCGAAAACCTAAGGAAAACCCGAGGCAAACTGTAAAACAATCAAGGAACACCGAGCCCCTTCCCAAACGAAAAGGGTTCCTTCTTCAGGGCCCCGACTGTAGTCGACTTTTTGTTTTCTCGCCGCTCACAGGTGCAGGATCTCGTGATGGCCCCAGAGGCCACCAAGACGGCTCCAAGACGGTCAGGAGGGCCCCTTGAGAAAGCCAAGACGGCCTTGGAGGGCCCTTCGACGGACCAAGACGGCGTCAAGGTGGCCCCACGACGGCCCCAAGACACCGCCCATACAGGCAAGAGGGCGCCAACACTGCCCAAAAGGGCCCCAAGACGGCACAAGCGGGCTCTCAAAACTGCCCCTCAGGAGCAAGACGTCCCAAATGAGCTCCATGAGAGCTCCTCAAGAAGTGAAGACGAAAGGATGTCACATGTGACGGCCTTCCTCCTCCTCCGCCTGTTGCTCCTCCTCCTCCTCCTCCTCCTCCTCCTTTTCCTCCTCCTCCTCCTCCTCCTCCCCCTCCTCCTCATCATCATCATCATCATCATCATCACCACCACATCCAGCAGCAGCAGCCTCCTCCTCCTCCTCCTCCTCCTCCTCCTCCTCCTCCTCCTCCTCCGCATCATCATCATCATCATCATCATCATCATCATCATCATCATCATCATCATCATCATCATCATCATCATCATCATCATCATCATAAGTATCATCATCACCATCATCAACATCATCATCATTATCATCGTCATCGTCATCATCGTCATCATCGTCATTATCGTCATCATCGTCGTCGTCATCAACATCACCATCACCATCACCATCACCATCACCATCACCATCACCATCACCATCACCATCATCATCATCATCATCATCATCATCATCATCATCATCATCATCATCATCCTCATCAATTTCATCATCACGGGTCTCACAAACTTGGGCACACGAAGTGGCACACGTGACGGCTTCCCGTGTCCCCTCGAACAATCGCCGCCCAGAATGCTGGGCTGGCACGGTGGCGGGACTTGCCGCAGGGCAACTGGATGATTGCTCACGTGTTCTTGCCTTCCAGCCTCAGCGCCAGCTCGTTTACTTACTCATCCGACTCTGGCACGCAACCAACCAACGCTTGCAACGTGTACGCGTCGGTCGGAAGAAGTATGTAAGAACATGAAGTAGGATGGCGGATTAAGTTGATTGGGTTCAGCCCCCCCAGAGAACAACAAAACATAGCAAAAGCACGTCGATTATTGAAGTAACAAGGCGCTTGAAGTAGATTGGGATCTGGGAATCCAGTTCGCCTGGCGAAAGACCCAACAATATGCAGTTAAGCGTACCGCACTTGTGAACATCTTCTTCGGTGGAGCCCCCTATGGGGCCACGAAACCCTGTACTGTGTGGGTGAAACGCGGAGAGCAAGGGCTGTGCTGGGTGGTGGCGGACGCATGCGGGCGGTGCCACTGGGATCTTCGCTGGAGCCCCCTATGGGGCCACGAAGCGCTGTACTGTGTGGGTGAAACGGACGGAGAAATGGCTGTACTGGGTGGTGGCGGACGCATGCGGGCGGTGCCACTGGGACCTTCGGTGGGGAGCCCCCTATGGGGCCACGAAACGCTGTACTGGGTGGGTGAAACGCAAGGAGCAAGGGCTGTGCTGGGCGGTGGCGGACGCATGCGGGCGGGGCCACTGGGACCTTCAAGTGGAGCCCCCATTTGGGGCCACGAAACGCTGTACTGTGTAGGTGAAACGCAGGGAGCAAGGGCTGTGCTGGGTGGTGGCGGACGCATGCGGGCGGTGCCACTGGGACCTTCGGTGAAGCCCCCTTCTGGGGCCACGAAACGCTGCACTGGGTGGGTGAAACGCAGGGACCAAGGGCTGCCTGGGTGGCGGCGGACGCACGCGGGCGGTGCCACTGGGACCGTCGGTG